ATTTACGAAATCAAAGTGTAAATAAAGCAAGCTCGAGCAATCTTCATATATTAAAACAAAAATGAAAAATAATATAACCTATCATAGACTTTTCTACATAACAATGTCAGACAAAACAACATCTTTATGAAAAAAATGACAATAACAAATATGTTACGACTTCTATAAAGTATAAAACTGAACGTAAATCAAAATAAAATTCTTAATCATGAGAAAAACACAAAAAATATTCATTGCATAACTACATTCTCTAAGCCAGTCTCAAAAAACCAAAACATATAAACTATGAAACTACATCAGTTTACAGTCTCAAAATAAAACAATCATTACATTAGCTTAGACAGTGATTTGAACAGAATTTAAACAGACTTTTATATCAATCTGCTGGGCAATAAATAAAAGCACATACCTTGATTGGATACTTTGGAAAAGATCACCGTGGTGGTTTAAACGTAAGTCAACCCTTAACTACATTTCCATTTTTATTTATTGACCAACAGAAGGGAGATGGATTTGAGAGACAACCTTAGGCAAAGAACAGGTGTTATCATATTACAAAATCAAGGCGCCTATTATTTTTGCTGGCAAACCATTCTATGATTGTATTCACGTCTATTTTAATATCTCTATGCATATACAAAAGAGCTAAACCGACTAATCGCTCTTGTAACACAGTGGAGCGCATCCAAGCTTTTATCCTCTTTAGATGGGAGAAAATTTTTTCAGATGTTGCAACACTTACCGGCAATGAAATCAAAAATTGTAGGCATCTAATAAGGAAAAATGTTTTCATCACATGATAATTACAGTGACATTCCACTGTCTATAATATCTTGTGTACGTGACTTCCAAAGGTCAAATTCTCCTTTTAATCTGGTACTCATTAAATTTTTGTTTTCGATACTATTTAGTCCGTGCAAATATCTAGAGATGGTTTCTAATATCTCCATTTCTTCAACTTCAGTTTTTGAGTTAAATACTGCAATTCCATTACGACTTTTTCATCTTGAGGTTCATAGTGCCAAGGGATATAGGAGCCCCTTCCCACTTCAGTTGGCCCAACTATTGAAATCTTAGTTTTCTTTTTTTGCAGCATATCAGCCTATTTTCATTTCAATGCCAAATAAGTCTATGACGCATAGGTGGCTGTGAAAAATAAAAGCCATGACAATTGTTTTTATTAATCACAGCTGTCAGAATACGTTTAAAATAGTTTTGGGTAGTTAAAGTTTTCAAAATGGGTAGAGGAAAGGTTATTAGTGAGAAAATTCGGTTACTGATAATTAAATTTTTTAATTCTGGGAAATCAAACTCAGAAATTGCAACTTTGTTAGACTTATCGCGGTACAGTGTGAGAAATATTGTTAGAAGATATAACGTAACTGGGTCAGTTAATATTAAGCCACGATATGTGAAAAAAAGTAATATCACAAATGCCGACCGAAGAGCATTAAGAAGAATCATCATGAAAAACAGGCATGCCAATTATTTACAATTAAGTGCTCTGTGGAGTGACGCTGTTGGAAGGAGAATTTCGAGGTCCCCAACTCATAGAGAGGCCCACAAACTGGGATTTAGTACTTGCAAGGTAAGTTTTCTTATAAGAAAAACCCTAAAGTTGCACCACTTGCTTATAGGCCAAAGAAAAGCCACTATTAACCCCACTGCAAAAGAAAAATCGGCTTAGATGGGCTAAAGAACATAGACAATGGACACCTCAACAATGGTGTGCAATACAATGGAGTGATGAGGCCCGATTCGAAGTTTGTGTTGGTGACAGTCGCAGTAGAGTTATTCGCAAAAAAAATGAAGCATTCCATGTTGACTGTCTGAAGAGAAAAGTGAAATTTCCAGCATCCATTATGGTCTGGGGCAGTAAGTCATCAAAAGGAGTAGGAAAACTCAATTTTATTGATGGAAATGTGGATACAAACAAATATTTGGCAATTTTAGAAGAATTACCTTTACCAGTGATGGAAGAATGTTTGGCATCCGGCCAAGATTTTGTGTTTCAGCAAGATGGTGCAGCGTGCCATACCTCAAAAAAGGCTATAAAATGGATGGAAGAAAATAATGTACCTCTTTTGAAATGGGTTTCTAGCAGTCCAGATCTGTCACCTATGGAAACTTTGTGGCACGAGATGAAAAAGGTTCTACGACAACATCCTGCTCGTACAATCACCGAACTGAGACAAAAGCTTGAAATATGGGATTGTTTTACACCAAATTTTTTCTAAAACTTGGTTAACACTAATCCCCAAAGAATTTCAGCCGTAATAAAAAATAGAGGTGATGTTACCCAATAGTAATCTTTCAATTGTTGCTTTGTTAACTTCGTTTATTCGCACATTGTTTATTTGTTCGGATGTTCTATTAGTTATAGGCTTAAGTGATTTCAAATATGTATTTTTTACGACTAGAGTGTATCTAAAATGTTTTTGAAAAAATAAATTGTTTTAGAAGTAAATAGTTTCGTCATGTTTAGTTTATAAAGGCATATTTTGGTACAAATCTTGAAGTGGGCCAACTGAAGTGGGAAGGGGCTCGTACGGCGCCCTTTTGTTCACCTAACATTAGGTTACACGTATCTGTACCAATGCCCATATATAGTTTTGAGTCTAAGTTGTTGGTTTTAATGAAATGCTTGACTGTTTGAGCAAGAATTTGACCTGTGAGTTTGGGCTCCATTGTATCTTCATCAACATTTGAGTAGCAGTCCACAAATCCCATGAAGTCCTCGTAAATATGTTTTTGATAACAATACCGCAATACGATTGACATTTGTGATTTATGGATAATGTCTGTAGTTTCGTCAAATATAATACTGTAATACTGACTTTGCCTGATGCGACTTAAAACTATATCCAAGATTCCTTCTCCACAATATTCAATAATTTTATTTTGGATGCGGCTGGTTATGTACGTAGCATGCGCTTCTAAGTTCTCTAAGTTTTTTTTTCAATAAATTGTCGCAGCTCTCGACTCTGAACCGTACTAATTCTCTAAAATTCCCTTCATTATTAAGGACATCCTCGTCATTCGTTCATTCGTGCTGTCATTAGAAAAAAGTCGTCCGCTATCTCGACGCCCTCTAAGTGGTATACATATTTTGGTGTCCTAAAAAAATTATAGATTCATCAGGTGTAGGAGTCAATCTTTGCCGATTTTCTGATACTTGCATATTTCGCTCTGAACCTATTATATTTCTTATATCATTCTCTGGATTTTCGTAAATCTTTAAAAAGTTTATAGCATCTGAAACTGCTTCTGTATGACATATTGAGTTCTCATGTGTCTCACAATCACCGGTTTTGCCATACAATTTCTAAAATTTCTTTAGTGGTACGGTAACAAGTTTTTCCAATTTAGTTGATTTATGTATTCCTCCTAATTTTGCAAAAACTATGCAATATTTACAGAAAAGCCCTTGTAGTTCTTCCGAATATGACAGCCAAGGAAATTTCTCCAAGTATTTTTTTGATAAGTAACATTTCACTTCCTTATTATTTTTCAAGTGTGTGGAATAGGGATACTTGAAAGAGTCATTAGGAATCATTGCACACCTCAATAAGGTATATTTTTCATGGGAAGACAAGTTGCCGCTGAAATTTACATATGGCGCAACATCAACAAAATTGCACTGAAGTGCTTATATACAGGGACTTCCGAGACAAAATAGACATAGATTATAATGATAGCTGGAGTATGGACCAAACACTTCGTAATTGAAATTATATAAAATTTCCATTTTTCCGTCTGCCATGTTTTTAGACACGATTTTTTTATAGTATAAAAATTAAAAACAATCAAAAATTGATTTTCTGGCTTCTGCGTGGAAAATAGAAAATCAATGGAACATAGAAAATAGGGTTAATACGAACCAGCTCAACAAAACTCCGCTTGTTCACTTCTCAGCCAAATTTTGTTGCGGACTCCGGACTGGTACAGAATTCAGGCCCGTATCGTCAGTCGTCCCTACAATTGTAGGGCGCGTTTATGGCCTCCTTGATTGTCATAGTTTTCTACTTCTCCGTGTCAGAGCTCTATTTTGAGGTTATGCCACAAACATCTATTTGCATCAAATTGTGCTTGCTTTTGAGTTATATCATGTTTTATCAGCCTGAAATTTCCTACAATTTGAAAGGAAAACATATCTTAACAATAGGAGAGCGCTGACGCTGACACGGGACGAGTGTAATCTAGAAATTTTTGAAGGAGCGAAAAGAGTATGAATATCAAGGAGGCCATAAACGCACCCTACAATTGTAGGGACGACTATAGACACCAGACTATACCATAACAGACTAGACTATACCTGTTCCAACAGGAAGAAGCGCACAGGGTTGCTGTTGGTGGGAGAGTAGTCGCTAGTCGCAAGCGCACTGAACGGGTTGACAGTGTTGCCGCTATCCTTTCTTAAAGTTACAGATTTTTTTTATAAGACGTTTACTTTATACCACCTTTTCAAAGAGTCGTCTGGAGCGAGGTATTTACCCCCTTTACCCCCCCGTGGGAGCGCCAGTGCGCGGCAGACGTGTTATCTGCTTCGTAATGCTCAAACTTATTGACTGTTTGCAATGACACTTATAATACATTATATTTTGTTTCTAAGGTAACGTGCTTTTCTTTTGTGAATTCCAAATGGCCAAGGCTAACTAGTATTATTCACAGAGAGCTATTACTCTGAACTGAGCTGCTTTCCAGTGAGCCAGTTGCCACTGCATATTATATTCCGATGCATTGTTTCTAGAACAGTTATGGAGGTTATCACTCTCAAACCAAAAACCACCGGAAAGCAGCTCTTGTTTGCTCGCTCCTTGCTGAGCCAATAAAAGTTATTTTCCCTTTGCAGATTCGGTTCATATCTAAGGGACTCCTCGGTCATTTTATCTTCAACAGCGTTAGAAAAAGCCACCATTGATATCGTAGTAGAAAACTGGGGAAGAGTGAACAACGGCATCTACAAACAGTACAAAGGGCTCTGGCAGGGTGGCGTCAAACTAAATGATGCTTACCTTTACGACTGGACTATATTTCCACTTGAATTCCAGAAAAAATGGACGAACAGCTTGAACAACTGGCAGACTTTCGATGATGAAACAGTTGGTCCTTGCTTGTTTAAAGCAAACCTTCAGATAGCTGGCACACCAAAGGATACGTTTGTTTATATGGAGAACTGGAAAAAAGGTATTGTTATTGTCAATGGATTTGTTTTAGGAAGATACGCTCGACTGGGTCCAACACAAACCGTGTTTCTCCCTGCAACCCTTCTCAAGCAAGGTTCCAATACTATTTATATCTTTGAGCATTTCAAACATGCATTGCAAGTAGAATTCTCGAAAACGATAGTGAACACGTTGCATTATCAATAAAGATATTTTAGAAAATGCTGCGTTTTAATTTTCACAGGGCCATGAAGATGTACGGACTTATCAAACATATACAACGAATTCAGACTAGGTAGAAGGAGCCACTCAAGAATTCCTTTGTCTTTTAATTACCATAGTCTGTGGTGCACTTGACATAAGTTAAGATATAGCCTCTCATACACAACTGGCGATCTCACCTTCTCGGTGGTGCAGCCCATTATTATTAATGATATGCGAATATGTAAGGGTCTGAATCTACATGAAAAATTAATGTTAGTTTGCTTCATACACTATGGTCCAAAAATGTTTCATTACAAAAACTCGTTGAAGTTTTATGAAAAAAATGGAAATTAATTAATATTTTCAGAACCGCTTCAGATATTTCACTGATATTTGGTACGTAGTGAAAGTTAATGAAGTTACATATTTTTAAATGCAAAAATAATTTTTAGCTTTAGCAGTAGCGTGCGTACGGGTATTGACTTAGATATTTCTAAAGAAAAAAATGGTACGCCAATGGGTTTTTGCCAAATAGAAACTATTTTTAAATTCCCAGTTGAATTTAAAACAAATGATCTCTCTTGAATTGTTTTCCTTCGATGCGCTATTTTTGAGTAAAAAAATAAAAACCGTTCTATTGTCTAGCTTGCAAAATTATTATTAATTTAATTGGAAAAATTAAACAGGTTAGGGGTAATGAACAACAACAACTGACAACATAAACATAACATTAAAACCAACGCAATGATTACAAAAATTGTTGAAAATGGCCCCCTTCACTTAGTATGCATGCTTCCGCCCTCCTTCTCATGGAATTGCGCACTTGTTGAATTATCCCTAGAGTGTTTTTTTATTCTATCACAAGCTGCAACTATTCTATCTCTTAATTCCTCTACAGTGTTAATTGGATTTGTGTATACCAGTTTATTAAGCTAGCCCCACAAAAAGAAATCTAAACTGTTGAGGTCTGGGGACCTTGGTGGCTATTCTTGGGGCCCACCGCGGTCAATCCAACGATTTGGTTGAACAGTTTGTAAATAATTACAAACCGCTACACTGAAATGCGCTGGTGCACTATCATGCCTGTACCACATATTGTTTCTCATTACCAACGGAACATCATCAAGCAGCAAAGGTAACTGTTGTTGAAGAAGATTGAGGTAAGTCTGTCCGTCAAGTCGTCCCGGCACGAAGAGTGGACCAATAAAGTGGTTGCCAATAATTCCTGCCTATACGTTAACCGAAAATGGGTGTTGGAAATGGGTTTCGGTTACGGCATAGGGATTTTCTTCTGCCCACAAATGATTATTGTGGAAATTCTGAATGACATTTCGAGAACAATTAGCTTCGTCCGTGAACAGTATCATTGGTTCAAATTGCGGATTATGTGTAATTTTTGAAGATACCACTGACAAAAGGTCACACGCCTTGGAAAATCAATGGGAAGTAATACCTGTACTCTTAAAATGTGGTAAGGATATAACTAAAAATCCACTAAAATTCTCCAAACAATTTGATGGCAATAGTGTCTAGCGATCTTCCTCGTACTCGTTTCAGGATGTTCTTCGAATTCGTGCAGCACTGCTTCCTCAATTTCAGGTGTTCTCACACTTAGAGGTCTACCTTCAGATGTTCCTTTTGGGACAGTACCAGTTTCAACAAGTCGACGATGAATATTAGAAAAGGTTCGACTATCTGGCAAAGCACGATCGGGATATCCCTGGTGGCTAATGAATTTCCGCCATTACTGCATTTGAATGATTCACCATTATTAACAAGATTGTAAAAACTAAATAATGAAAAAGCGAACAGATTTGAATAACAGAGACTTGTCAGATGTCAAAAGCCAGTGACATATTCCTGAGCAACTAGATATTTATTGCTAATTTGCATTTTTCAATTATTACATTAATTTTCTAGGACGGTTTTTATTTTTTTTACTCAAAAATGGCGCATCGAAGGAAAACAATTCGGAAGAGACCATTTGTTTTAAATTGAACGGGGAGTCAAAAATAATTTTTATTTGGCCAAAAACCATTGGCGTACCATTTTTTCTTAAGAAATATCGAAGTCAATACCCGTACGCACGCCACTGTTAAAGCTAAAAATCATTTTTGCATCAAAAAATATGCAACTTTATTAACTTTGACTACGTACTAAATATAAGTGAAATATCTGAAGCGGTTCTGAAAATATTAATTAACTTCCATTTTTTTACTAAAACTTCAACACCAATTGGGGTGTTTTGTAAGGAAACATTTTTGGACCATAGTTTATGATGCAAACTAACATTCATTTTTCACAGATTCACACCCTCAAATATTTGCATATCATGAAGGAACACCCTGTATAACTGACGAGGAAATGGCAACCGATGACTACCGGTATAAGTAGTCAGAGTCTCTCCGTGATGATTGACCAAAATGGCGGGAATCATCATGCAAGAGGATTTAGACAGCATCTGTTCGAAGGTGGGCGGCTAACAAGGGGTAGACCGGGCTCCTTGAGCCGTGGCAAAGGCAGCCGGTCTAGGGACGCTGACCCTAACAGGACAGTATGACCCCAACGGGCTACTTTAGGTCAATTCAACATCATTGAAAGAACGTATAAGACAAGGACCAGTCGACCGAGGCGCTAGCTTTTCCCAGGGTGTCTTATAAATGTTCCCGCACCTAAGCTACGCAGTCGGTTATGTTCCTCAACAAAGAAATTAATGATGATGGATCCCTCGAGTACTAAGAATTCTGGACGTAACTTCGCTCCACTCTCGGAATGTCCAGATGGGGGGTGAACTCGATAGAACAGCATCGATGATAAAATTTGTTCAATGAACATCTGCGGGAATAACAGCAACCATGATGCTGTTCAACACTACCAGCAATCTAATCAACCCGCCATCCTGGCGGAGACAAAAATTTAGAGTTTGCACCGGTTAGCAATCTTAGCTTCCCAAATTACGAGGTGCACTCCAATCCGAGAAAGAACAGGAAAGTTGTGGCCTTTGTCCACAGCAGTCTTACCTGCTCCCGATACTCTTCTTTGGTGTCAGATCGGAATTATGTGGCTTCGCCTCAACTGAAAAGCATCCCTCAAATGTATTTGCTGCCGTGCAGTTTAAGCGTTCGCTCTTAGTAAGGGGCTGACCCAGCTGGTGACGAGCCATATTTTCCCCCCGCGTCTCGTCACATGCCAGTAGCGTGCTGGATCTCTTTGTGACCACGCATCCTGTCCTTCACAGAACTGTTGTCCTGTCCTCCTTGGGTAACTCAGACCACGGTGTTGTGGAGGTTAGGTTTCGGTCAGAACCAGCTGTGGAGCAGAAAATCGTACAGGTCACAAAACTTGGCATTACGGAAATGCCGACTGGTAGGGGCTCAGAGACTTCCTCTCGACCTTTCCTTGGAGAGATTTTTGTTTCGCTGATGCGGATGCGTCTGCTGTGTGTTCTTTGATAACCGAAATTATCCTCGTCGGGGTTGGAAGAATTCATCCCTCATACAGTGAAAGTGCCTAAACCAGGGTCCAACGGCTGGCTCAACAAATCGTGTGACACTGCTCGCCAGCAGAAGATCAAGCCACACAGAACCTTGTTACAAAACCCCATTGTAGAGAACAGACAAGCCGACATCGAGTGCAGAAACAAGTATAACTAAGCGGTTCGCAATGCCAAAGACCAGCACGATATTAAAGTTTGGCACAGGGTAATGTCACAGCGCAATGGCAGTCGGTCTTTTTAGATGCTGCCCAAGCAGATTAAAAGAAACTTCTAGCACAGTAGCCTTCCACCACTTACGTGACAGGGTGGGAGAAATTGCAGGAAGAAACATTCAGGCATACAACCGTCTTGTCGATCGACATCAACAAACCTTCTGTGCCGGACCTGATTCCTGCCATTGTACTGAAGAGGTGTGCAGTGGAGCTTGCTCCAGTTCCTTCACGTCTCTTCCAGATATCTTATGAATGCGGCACTTTCCCAGAAAACTCTAAATTTGCTCATGTCCAGCCCATTTCCAAAAAAGGATCTAAGACCGACCCTTACAGCTACAGGCCTATAGGTCTACCTTCTGTTATAAGTAACATTTTTTTTATTTTTATTTGGTGGGAGAACAGAAGTTAACATAGTACAAACCTGAAGTAATTAATATGCATAAAAAATATAACAGTCACAAAACTACACAATTGATTATATAACAGATTTGAAGACGATCTTAATAGAGGTCACATTTGTATTAAATATATCAATTCTGATTTGTAGATTGTTGAAACAGGTACACATGGAATATAGCGGAGAATGCAGCAGTAAGTTGGTCCTGCGAGTTGGTAAATAAAACGTTAGGATGTTTCTGGTGAGACATCTTGGTATATTAAACGACAGGCGACTTAGAATATCCGGACAATCATATTGGTTGTGAATAACCTTGAATAAAAATACATGATAGAGAGGTGCATAAATCGCGAGCTTCTGGACTACCTCGAATGTCACGGCTTGATTAGCGACACACAGTATGGTTTCCGGCACCGTCGAGCCACACGAGACCTCTTAGCTTACGTCACGCAATTGTGGAGTAAACTCATCCAGTCTTATGGTGAGGCTCATGTTGCTCTTGGTATCACGAAACTGTTCGATCAGCTGTGACACGCTGCCCTTTTATGCACACTTCCATCGTATGGCCTCCCAAAAAAGCTTTGCAGATGATTGGTTGACTTTCTCCCTGGCCGTAAGATATCCGTCGTAATTGATGGGTTCTCCTCTTTATCCCACAACGTCAACGCGGGTGTTCCCCAGGGATCGGTCTTGGTCCGACAC